GGACTCGAACCCTCAATCTTCTGATCCGAAGTCAGACGCCTTGTCCGTTAGGCCACGCGGTCCCGTTTCCCTTGCTCACATCTTACAACACTTGGTGATCTGGTCTTGTCAAAGCACTAAGAGTGGCCAGCTTGGGAATCAAACTCAAGATCTTGTAGCTTTTAGCGCCGTGCTAACAGTCACTGGATATCCTGTCATGTGTAAAGTCCTTGTAACTTGGCATAAGAGGGGCAGAATTTGTTTAAATCGGAAAGCTCTCGCTTGTGAGCAGGACAATGCAAACGCCATTCAGCAGCACTGTTCTCCTAATCTGGAATTTTTAATCATAAACTGTAAACCGCTTTACTCCCCCCGTGAGTTTGCTTCATTCATTCTGGTTGGTGCTTACATTCTGCCGCACGCCAACGTGCAGGACGCACAGCGCATGCTGGCCGACCGGATACTGTGTGTGGAGCAGACAAACCCGGACTCCCTTGTTATTGTTCTTGGTGACTTTAACAAAGGAAACCTCTGCCAAGAACTCCCCAAATACAGACAGTTCATTAAGTGTCCAACCAGAGAGGGGAACACTTTGGATCACTGTTACACCACAGTTAGCAGTGCCTATCTCGCCGTTAGACGCGCTCCACTGGGACACTCTGATCATGTCATGGTCCACCTGATTCCTGCTTACAGACAGAAATTAAAACTCTGTAAACCTGTAGTGAGGACATCAAAGAAATGGAGCAGTCAAGCTGTAGAGGATCTTCAGGCATGCTTGGACTGCACTGACTGGGATGTTTTCAGGACTGCTACCAACAATCTGGATGAGTTTACAGAGGCTGTGACATCCTACATCAGCTTCTGTGAGGACAGCTGCATTCCAACACGCAGCAGGGTGAGTTATAACAATGACAGACCCTGGTTCACAGCTAAGCTCAGACAGCTGAGGTTGGAAAAGGAAGAGGCGATTAGGAGTGGAGACCGGGCCAGGTTTAAGGAGTCAAAGTACAGGTTTAGCAAGGCGGTGCGAGATGCTAAACAGCTGTATGCAGAGAGACTACAAGACCAGTCCTCAGGAATGACTCTGCTTCTGTCTGGAGAGGATTCAGACGGATCAGCAGCTACAAACCTAAATCCCCCCACTCCATGAACGACTCACGCCTTGCCAACGAGTTGAACCAGTTTTACTGTCGCTTTGAAAGACAATGGGACAGACCTGACACCATCCCCCGTCACACCACTGATCGGCCACAGTCCACCATCTCATCCCCCCCTCTCTTACCATCCAAGAGAGGGATGTTAACAGACTGTTCAGGAGGCAGAAACCTCGCAAAGCAGCGGGGCCGGACTCTGTCTCCCCATCCACCCTGAAGCACTGTGCTGATCAGCTGTCTCCGGTGTTTACAGACATTTTTAACACCTCACTGGAGTCATGCCATGTGCCAGCCTGCTTCAAAGCCTCCACCATCATCCCTGTCCCCAAAAAACCAAGGACCACGGGACTAAACGACTACAGACCCGTCGCCCTGACCTCTGTGGTGATGAAGTCTTTGGAGCGCCTTGTGTTGTCCCACCTTAAATCCATCATAGACCCACTCCCGGGGCAAGGGCAGGCTGCAGCGTATCATTCGCTCTGCAGAGAAGGTGATTGACTGCAATCTTGCATCGCTTCAGGACCTGCACGCCTCCAGGACTCTGAGGCGAGCAGGAAAGACTGCAGCAGCTGACGCCTCCCATCCCGGTCACAAACTGTTTCAGACTCTCCCCTCTGGCAAGAGGCTGCGGTCCATCAGGACCAAAACCTCTCGCCACAAATATTTGTTGTTAATTGTAAGTGGTTGTTGTTCCATTTTTTTATATTGTCAGTTGTATTATTTTTCTCTATTCTTCATATATAACTTGCATTTGTTTATTACATATTTCTACATCTATTTATGTCAGCTGTATGTAGCACCTCAACACCAAAGCAAATTCCTTGTATGTGTAAGAAGGTACTTGGCAACAAAGCTCCTTCTGATTCTGACGTCGAGTTGTCTGGCCAGTATGGGGTTGAACTCATGACCTTGTGTCATTAGCACCACGCTCTAACCATCTGAGCTAATCGGCCTGCTGTAGGGTACTTCTTTCTTTCTTTTTGCTAAGCCAGCATCAGTTGCCATTCGTAGGTCGTTTGTGACTCTAACCAAGGCTGTTTCTGTGCTGTGTGCAGAGCAGAAAAGCCGACTGGAATTATTCAAAAAGGTTGTTATGTTTGAGGTGGTCCTGGAGATGGGCGGCAACAACTTTTTCCAGTGTTCAATTAGATTACCAATACGTGGAATGTAATTTAGTACTTTTAAAGTATTGTACTTAATTACAAATTTGAGACTGTAACCTAAAACTTCAATTAATAGTACCCGACCAGGCTTCTAATTGACCTGCGTTTATTTGTCAAAACGTGAAGCCACAACAGTCAGTAAATAGCACAGGTGTCTAAATAGGACCAGGCTTTTAACTGAAGTCTTATGGAATATTTGACAGCTTAATAGTAACTTTAAAGATGCAGATTTTACATAGGCCTACAAAACAAGCAATATTATGCTAAACAACCCAATAGGTAAAATAGTTCAAATGTGCTCCACCATGACCAATTAACAATAAAATGCTGTGTACAGTACTACTGCATCAGAAATAAGAAGCGAGTAATATAATATGTAATAGCATAAACATAGCTCTGCATCTCTACATATTGAGTATTTGATACTCAATACAGTAGATTTTCTAATATAATTTAGTGGTGTTTAATAGAATACATATACTTTTAATGGCGTATTTTAATGTCGCAGTCACAGGGCAGGCATTACTGGAGGAGCACAGATCCATATCATCGATTGGCTTCATCTGTGCTCTGCTGAGTTGCCTGACTCTGATACCACATGGCACGACTACATGCGCGTCGATGTGTTGTGAAGGAGCAGATGAACAACTTAGCCATAGCTTAGATTCATATAGCTAACTTAGTCGTCTGTAAGAGGAATACATAGCTAAAAATGTCGCAGTTACAAGCGAGGTTCTTCACGGAGAACAAAAGGTGAGCTCTTATTCCCTTAAACCAATTAAATATAACTAAAAAACGACAGCAGCTAACGTTAGCCGTCTGGGTATCTAGCTGTAACTTACAGTAAACAGTACGACATTATTGTGAGGCACTTCTCCGCCTTTGAGCCATGAATGTGTTCTGTAAATTCTGCCTAAGCTTCTAATTGTAGTTATCCACCAACAGTTTTGTAGCGCATATTGATTAGCTAGCTATTGCTAACAATCCAAAGATGTGACTGGCTGCTGTCCTGCTGCATCTGTGTCATTTGGTGTCTTAATATATATGTACATATGCGAAATGTGTGTGTGTGGTAAACTATGGTACAAACCGAAGGCCTTTCTTTGTAGGTATGTTGTGGATGATGTCCCATTCTCCATCCCTGCTAACTCTGAAGTGCAGGACCTCAGTAATGTCATCACATGCTACTGGAAGCTAAAAATGGTAAACTCACATTTATTTTAAGCATTAAATATGTCAAGACGTTTTAACATTTATTCCTTAAAACTTAGTAGTCGCTATTTAAAAGCTAAAAGTATTTATTTATTAGCCACTGTTCCCCTGCTCTAGCAGTAAGAATTGATGACATACTAGAACTTAATTTCTCAGTTACTATTAACTAACTGCACATTTTTCATTGAAATCTATGGGTCTCTGCAATTCAGATATCATCTATTCATTAGTTACTAGTAACTTATTGAATAGTTACTAGTAACCTTTTACTAGTATCTGTTATTTAGATACTAGTACCTACTCATCAGTCATTAGTAACTATCCAAATGGCATTAGTAACTTTTTTATTTTTACTAGTAAGAAAGAAAATATTACTATTAACAAAAGAAAGCACTAATAGCTAAATAATAGATACTAGTAAAGTGAAAATGGTTACTAGTACCTAATTCCATTTTACTGGTATCTATTATTAGTAGCTAAATAATAGACACTAGCAAAATGGAAATGGTAACTAGTAACTAATGAATAGATGTGCAGTTAGTTACTAGTAACTAAAAAATAGTTATTAGTAACTGAATATTAAGTTCTAGTATCTAATCAATTGTCACTAGTAAAATGTGAATAGTTATTAGTGACTAATAAATGTACTAGTAGCTTTTAAATAGCTACTGGTAAGTTTTAAGTAATAAATGTTAAAACGGCTTTCCATACATTAATAACAAGTTTTACTATATACACAGATTTCTATTGTTTATACTCAGCTTAAATTATGTCATATGGCTGACAAAATCCCAGTGCTTAAAATACTCGTAACATCTTGAACGCATATTTTTCTTTTGTTTCCGCAGCTTCTCACAGCAAAGTGGATTTCGACTTCCTGGTCAAGGGTCAGTTCCTGCGATCGTCGCTGGCCACTCATATGGAGGCAGAAGACATATCGACGGTATGACCAGCCTCCATGCTTAAACCTGAGTGTAAATGCTGTGTTCCTGTTATACTTATGGTACAGACAGTTTTGTGTAAAGCTTGTTTCAGCATTCACTGCCTTATCTTGTGGAAGCCTAAGAGGGACAAATGGGAACACGTGATTTGATATCTGGTCATCAGTGCGTATGTCTGTGCTTCAGGAAGACGTGGTGGAGATAGAGTATGTAGAGCGGATCACAGCCCCAGAGCCCGAGGATGTTGATGCACGATGACTGGATTAGCTCTGTAGATGCAGATGCTGAATGGTAAGATAACAGACAACAGACTTTTTCATTTGTTTGTATTGCATTTACATTTTCTAATGGCCTTTCGGTCATAGCAATTTAAAAATAAACTTTCTTTTTGTAAATAGTACAGCGTTGTGGTTTGTTCCAAACGTGTTGCAGAGTGCCCTCTGGTGGAAAACTATACACGACAGGCTGTAATCTGAATAAATTTTGTTTTAAATATACTATAATCTCCTGGTTTTCTTACTTTTCTATTTTTTGCAGGATCCTAACAGGGTCGTATGACAGACAGCCAGGATCTGGTCTGTAGAGGGCAAGGCAGTGTTGACAGTGGCTGGACACACAGATGTGGTGAAAGATGTAGCCTGGTCAAAAGAGGTGAGCAGGGCAGAATGTCATACAGTCACTTTAATAATAACAATGAGAACCTTTCTTAAAAGACTCTGCCAACGTATCTCTTCAGATGGTCTGACCTCTCTGCTTCTGACCGCCTCTCTGGACCAAAACATCCTGCTGTGGGAGTGGAACTCCGAGAGGACAAGGTGAAAGCCAGACACTGCTGTCGGGGACACACAGGGAGTGTTGACACTGTTTCCACAGACCCCACTGGCTCAAAGGTAAAGAGTGATGGATAGTGCTTATTGCAAATTCAAGGGCTTTCACAGTTGCTATTTGTCAGTGAAAGCATTTGTGTTGCTCCCATACAGTTCTGCAGTGGCTCCTGGACAAAATGTTGAAGATTTGGTCTGCAGGTAGGTTCCAGAATTATTGATTGCGTCCTAAG